GGTGGGAATTTTGGGTGTTGGCAGATACTTCCTCATGACATTTTTCCCTAGCATTTCGTAAAGAAAAAGGGTTTCTGTGTTTCCATATTGAATGAAACACCTGTAGAACTTCTTCTGAGAAAGATCTCTGGATACTGAAGCTGAATTTTGTAGCTCTTCACCTTTGCTGCTCTTCACACAACTGTTTTTTTTTTTTTTTTTTTTTTTTTTCTGAGTTACAGCATATCTTTAAAATGAGTCTCTTTTGCTAGTGATAAGATTGAGGGCAAATGACCTGCAATTGTGACATTTCTCACCCACAAGACAGCTGGCCCAAACAGGAAAGCGTTGCTGTAAGGCAGAAATGACCATGTCCCAAGCAAGTTTTGTTCACTTAGAAATGAATGAGCTGCCTAACCCGCACACATTCGGATAGCACCGACATGAGCGCTTTGCTGGAGTGTAACAGAGATCAGGCCAGCAGCATCCACTGATACTTGGGAGCGGAGGAAGCAGAGGTTAATTGAAATAGAAAGCGAGTCAGTGTGCAGATGTATTTAACATGAGCCTAGGTTACAAGAGGAGCAATGCAGATTGTTACAGCACGATGCTATCAAAGGGAAGCAAAGCCCTTAAAATAAACAGCAAAGTTACTGCAGCACAGGGCTGCAGTTAGAGGAATGAATGCAAATTACGCAGCTGGCCTTACCCTCGGAAACTCAAGCAGGAATCCAAGAAATTTCTAATTACCGACTTAGGAATTAAAGCACTTGTTGATTCCTGTTGGAAAGAAGCAAAGCCTAGAATCTTATTTGATGTTATGAAGGGTCAACCTGCCTGTTTACACAGGGAAAATACATGGGAGAGTAGGAAGAATGATAGACTAACTGGGTCTGTCCAGGACCTACATTGCCCTGTCTTGCCATTAGTTCCAGGATATTTTTGCTTGTGAAATTTGAATATTGCTCATACAATGCATTCATCTTGTTTACAGTGTGCAAAGTACAAAATTCCCACTCTCCAGTTCCATCTGTCACAGAAATTTAGATATATGAAAATTTCTGATACATTAGCTTCCTTGTGCCTTTTTTTTTTTTTTAAAGTTTGATTTATATCCTTTCATACTTGGGATGGAGGAGTAAAATTTAGAAGTTGATACACTACCTGGGTCTCATAACATTTTGGAGTAAACATATTTTCTGAGATTTTTCAGCTCTGCTTGCAACATAATTTTGTTCCAATCTAGCAATTTGTTTCACCCTTAGGATCTTGTTTTATAACTATTTTAGGCTCCAGGCCAAATATCTACATAGATGAAGTTAGTTCAGATGTATCCTAGCTAATAAAAAGTGTGCCTGTTGAACAGCTACATCTAGAGAAACCTTGGACACTAGAACATACCAGTAAGAYAGATCACTAATGTTTATATTTCTCTGCACCATACAACTGGAGGACGCAGAAAAGATGATTATGACAGTATGGCAAAGGTCATAATGCTGTGAAAATGGCATAACTGCTTTTTATACAAGAAACAAAACCACAGTTTAATTATGCAGCCATAGCCAACACACACTACTACATATTTATCCTATGAAACCAGGTGATCCACTTACATGTGTTAGTAAATGCTGTTATAGAAACAGTTTGTGGAATTTTAAACACTCTTTCTCTGTAAAGAAAAACTTTTGGTATGTCACTCAGTGCTTAGATTGAGAAGAAATAAGCCCTTGAAATTAATTCTAYTTTATTTTCACGTACAGGTGCTGTAGTTTTAAGATTTACCATGGGCAAAATTAGATGCCTTGTTCTACTTAAAAGGAAGATCCCATGCTGTGGATTCCTATCAGTGCAGCAACACAAATTCCAAAGGGCCTGACCTGAGCTTATTAAATTAGACAAGGGTTAGCAGAACTTGATCTTGTACTCTGAACATCCAGATAGATCAAAGAACCCCCGGGAATTAAAAAATGTATATCCTGGAAAACTGTGAAATTTCTCACTCCAAATTACAACTAAAGCAATAAAAGAAGGTACCGTGTTGGGAGGCACCATGCTCATTCCTCTCCTTTTAAAATAGAGCATATTTACACAGGTCATACAAACAGATACCTCACCCCCAAAAGAACATATACACAGAGTCCCAGTTGAGCTTTCTGTTTATACATTGAATGCTCTTTTGGGAAAAAGGGGGGGAAAAAAAGAAAAAACAAAACAAAACAGACTGCTTTCTGTGCCAAAAACCCTCCATACTTTAGCTATCGTGACATCTAAGGCTGCTCTGGTGAGTGGAAAAGGGCTYCGAGGCACCTTACACCATAATTCCAGCACATGAAGGGAGGGAAGAGGGCTCCTTCCCATCTCAGACTCCCTGTAAACCTTCTCTGGCAACAATCATTTATCTGTAATGCTCATAAAATACATGCAGAGGCAAATATTTTGCCTTGGGAAGGATTGTGTTTTCCCCAAATACATGCTTGAAAGTAAGTGGAGAGGGGCACACCCTTACTAATCTTTGCTGCTAACATCCAGTCGCACAAGGAGAACACCATGGTGCTATACTGTGACTGCTGTTGGTCTCCTTTCCAGGCACAAAGCATAAACATTTCCAGCAAATGTTCTTAAAGATAAGTTCGTTTGCCAAGCAGTGGTGCTTTTGACCTGAGTAACAGTGGTGAGAAACCATTTTGTTTACACGGGGAAACTAATGAATAGACTTTCCAATCACTTGTCACATACCAGCTATACGCCCGTTAACCATGGTGTTTATTGCAGGCAAAAGGAGAAGAATTTCTGGAAGCCATCATTAAAGTATTTTTTTCCCTTGGGCTGCACACTGCCGTGTACTTTTCAGGCAKCTCATAAAAATAAGGGGAACATACATTTTAAGAAGCTTTTTTTGAAAAGGAATGCCTAAGAACTGCCAGAAATATCATTAAAAATGACACTTAAAAGGGTTGTGAGTCTAACTACTGCAGTGTGTTTTATCTTGAAATGTTAAAGCAAAACATACGCTGAAGTCAGAGGGAATTTTGTCTGGACCATGAGGTGAAATTGGGCAGAGATTTGGGGGTTTAAGCTACTAGGCTATTCTGAGCAGGCGGGCCTCAGGTGTAGCGAATGAGATTATTCCCACTTACGATAAAACCTCAKAGTGATGTAAGAATGAAAATTACATCATCTTGGTTACTTCACTAGCAACTTTCCAAGTTTCCAAGCTGCATCCCCAGCTTGTACAGTTTCTCCTGTTCAATAATAAATTATCAATCACCACCATAACACTGATCTGAGGACCACAGGCTGAGGAGAGGTCATGACAACCTAGRTCATAAAGAACAGTGCCGATGATAGACTTATTTAAGACATTTGATTTGTCATTGTATTTTTTACTAAGAAACTAGAACCACACAAAACTGACATATTGCACATTAAAAGAATTAAAACCATATGGGATACAGATCTTACCCAGTAAACAGGAGACACACAGCAAAGGAGACGCATCCACACATTGCTATTTTTCTGCTGGAGATCCTTATGCGTAGGTTTTGTCCCTCTATTAACTTAGATATTTATTAATGGAAGAAGATAATCACGGATATCATATTCCAAGATATGATTATCTTGGAAGAAGATAATCATGGATAATAATATTGGCAGATGCTAAATGTAATGGGTGAGCAATAAATGATATATGTCACTAGCTGAATGAAATTTGGRTGGCTTGCTCTGCTGTTGGGTAATGGCTGGGCTTCCTCTTGGCTAATTTTGAACATATGTGCTGTAGGTGAGCCTGCTTGAGCAGGAAGGTTGGACTAGATGATCTCTAGAGGTCCCTTCCAACCTTAAATATTCTGTGATCTGTGATCTGTGATTCTGTGATCTGTGATCTGTGATCTGTGATTCTGTGATATTCATCTGAGCAAGCCATGCAGATTCCCTTTATAGTAAATGGGAGGAAATAATAACTGACCTATTTTGAATATATATAGAAGTGCCTGTTTTTCAGAGGTGATTACAGTAGAAGTAGAAGTAGAAGTAGAAGCTCTACTGTTTACAGTAGAGCTGTAGACTTCTTATATTTAGGTGAGTTTAAACCCTCCTCCCTATGTATTTTAATACAGCAAAGTACAGATAAGTGTAAATTCCCAACTAGGATAGAAAAATGCAGGCCTTATTTAAAAGAAAGGCAATATTTTGGAAGGAACCCAGTTAGAAAATAAATTGATTGTCTGGAAGGATGGCCATCTGCAGATGAGCTCCTCTACACTGCTATGAGAACCCACAGGCAAGAAGGCAGGCAAATGTGCACCACGAGTGGGACAAATAAAGAAGCTTTGCATTTGACACTGCGCAACTACAGCAGACGTGCTGGGTCTTGCTCACAATTTATTGGAGAAACTGATAGTCTTGGGAAAGTTCAGAGAACAGGGCTTTGGATAGTTAAGGGATGGGCAAATTTGTAGAGACTCACAAACCAAGAGGATATCTGTGGGATGACTTGATGGCAGGCAATAATTTTGTACTTATGAACAAAGATCAGTGCAGGAACAAAGATCAGTGCTGGAAAATGGAGACGATCAGATGGCTGGAAGTCAAAGCTGCAAAAATTAATACTGGATAATATTAATATAATAATGCTGGAAATACTTTAAAGATATTTTACAGTGAAAACTATTAACCACAGGAACAATTTGCAGCTTAATTATATTAGTTTTCAATTACTAGAAATTTTTAAGTCAAAGCTGAATATATTAAATGATTTAGTTGAATGAAAAGTCATATAGATATGTCCAAAGCAAAGTGTAGTGCTGTTCAGAAGTGTCAGACCAGATGATGACAATGGTGTCTCTTGGCATTGTAATATAGAAATCAAAGCAAAATCCTAGGTTAAGTTCTCTGTAGTGCAATAAAAGGATATCCAAACAAGCACAAGTATCAGCCTTCATTGGTTTATTCTGGGCCAAACATTGGGTTAAAACTAATAATGTGTTTCTGATACCCAGGCTCACTCACTAAGCACAGCATGGTGTTGTATCAGACCTGCTTTGCAGCCAGCACTCATTCGAAAGATATCTTTTCCAGATACAGCAAACAGGCAAACCAAGAAGGCAAAAGGAGGGATGGAGAAAGTAGTTCCTGCAATGCTAAAATGCTATTGAGTGCATATATTGTAGAATGGAGCGAGGATAACTCCAAGCAGCTTAACTGAAGTTTATAGTACTTCCACCAAAAGTGTGGTTCACTGTACAACCTCATACTAAACCCAATTTAAAACAAGTACAGTAGTGTTAGATATTCCACCCATAAAAGAAGAAAAATTTTAGGTATAATACAGCCACGGATTACAACAATAAAAAGTTYGTTTTATCAACAGAGTACTTTGTAAATTCATTTCTCACAAATTTGTGTCTTCTATTTCTTCCAACCTTTCCCTTCTCTATCACAATAAATCTACCCTCTGCCCACTGTCTCCTGAAAGACTTCTCACAATATTCCCACATCCCCTAGGTTGTCATTGTCCATCTCAACAAAATCCTCTGTTTTAGCTGTATCTCATTTGTCCAGCACCGGAGCACAGAGGAGGAGAGTGCCCTGGCAAGCAGAGGCAACACGTGCACTCCTTAGCCAAAGGCAGCTGCCTCTTCGCTCCTGGTTGGCTCTCAGGGAGCAAACTTGAGAGCCAGGAGAGTTGGAGAGTTAATGGGATATATGCACCTTAATGGAATTAATGGGCTTGCACTGTCTGGCCATGGAGGCACAGCTAACAACACAGCTAGAGCTCAGGAGTTAGCAGAGTGCTAGTGGCAAGGAGCAAAGCGGTGCCAGGACCCTGCTAACAGTTTCCCAGGACAAGTGGCCCTCTTCCAGGGCTTGTTCAGTAGTACAAACATATCCTAAGTGTTTCTCCCTTCCCCTAGTACTGATTTTCTTTACAAATGTAGCATCTTCTCTCAGAGGGGACTGATTCTCACCGCTGGGCTCTAGAGTTATTGGCAAGGAGCATCAGGCAGTCAGCATGATCCAAGTGCCTTAATGTCTTAGAAAAACAAACTAAAAATAAACAAATCTCAGCATCATAAGTTAGACCTTATAACGCTTTCCAGCTAAGGAAGTACTTATTCTGAGAGAGTTTAGTTTAATATGGAGTATGTTATGCTGCAATAGTCACCTCTCCTCAGACACATGTTATTTCCCCAACTAACCACAAAATCAGAAGTCAATTCATGCCTTTCCTAGTTGTGTGGCAGCAAGCTTCWTGGTGAGAGGAAAATCATGCTGAGGGAAAGAACAAACCCAACAATAACAAGCTGAAATTATCCTCAAAGTTTAGGGTGCAAAGGCTTCATGGTTAGTAGAGTATGATCAGTTAAATCTATCTTGCAAAAATAAACAATTTTTTGCAGTTGTATAAAATGAATTTATTTTAAAGTGAACTTTCAAAGGCRTATAATTTCCACTTTTTAATGTTTTCACCATCTGTTTTTTATTGTTGACATTGTGGCCATTGTAAGCTATGCAGGATATCTGATCTTTATATTCCAGGCTAGTGATGAGCGAAGTCCAGTGAGTTCATGAATTCAAAAACTGCATTTCCTAGAGTATCCAGGCTATCTTAATCAGCCTGATGATCAATGGATGAGTTTGTATACACCAAAAAAAAAAAAACAACAAAAAAAAACCACCAGTAGCCTTCACGGCATCCTCAAATGAAAAAAAAAAAAAAAAAGGTGAGGGAAAACTTACTTTATTACTTGTTCAAGTTAGAGTTGAAGCAATTTGACTGGAAAAGTAATGCTTTCCTTACCCTTGGTACACCAGGTGGGTGAACAAGACCTGATGGCCTGGGCAGGTTAAATCTTTTATGGTCCCTCAATTCATCACTAAAAAATACTGAGAATGTCCCAAGTCAAAAACTGCTTTCTTATCAAAGAGTTGTATCATCAATGTTGCCTGTTACAGTGATATTCTGAGACAGAACATTTAATTGTTTGAGACCTGATCAAAACTACATTGACTACTGTTAGATCACGAGTCTAAAAGCATTACAATTAAAGATAAAGTTATAAGAAATACAAAGTGTATACATATACATATATATATATACAATTTCAAAAATTAGTACTACTTTCTATGTGGCCACTTCTGGGTCCATATGGAATTGAATCATGGCAAAATCATGGTTTTGATTTTAAGGTGATTTTTTTTTTCCTTTTTCTCTGATTTCAGGTTGTGGGACATTTACTTTTCTGTCATCTGCTATTGCTGCCGTAAGTGGACTTCTGATGGGTTATGAGTTGGGACTTATCTCTGGAGCTCTTCTTCAGATGAGCAATATACTAGCACTCTCTTGCAAAGAACAGGAAATAGTTGTAAGTTCCCTCCTTTTTGGGGCCTTATTTGCATCTCTTACTGGTGGATTCCTGATAGACCGATTTGGAAGGAGATTTGCCATTATTATTGCATCTTCATTGCTTGTTTTGGGCAGTCTGATCTTATTGCCCTATGAATCATACRGAATACTTATTGTGGGACGGATTGCCATAGGTATTTCCATATCGTTATCATCAATTGCTACATGTGTATATATTGCTGAGATCGCCCCACAGCACAGAAGAGGCCTCCTCGTGTCTTTAAATGAACTCATGATTGTGATAGGCATACTTTTTGCCTATATTTCAAATTATGCATTTGCCAGTGTATCTCATGGCTGGAAGTATATGTTTGGCCTTGTGATTCCATTCGGTGCCTTGCAAGCTATTGCCATGTATTTCCTTCCTCCAAGCCCTCGGTTTCTTGTTATGAAAAATAACGATGAAGCTGCAAGAAAGGTCCTGGAGAGGCTACGGGAAACTTCAGATGCTACCAAAGAACTTAGTGTGATCAAGTCTTCCTTGAAAGATGAGCACCAGTATAGTTTCTTGGACCTGTTTCGTTCAAAAAACAACATGAGGGCCCGAATGCTGGTAGGACTTACTCTAGTCTTCTTTGTGCAAACAACAGGACAACCCAACATTTTATTTTATGCATCCACTGTTTTGAAGTCAGTTGGGTTTCAAAGCAATGAAGCTGCTAGTTTGGCTTCTACTGGAGTTGGAGTTGTCAAAGTGGTCAGCACAGTCCCAGCCACAATTTTTGTTGATCAAGTTGGAAGTAAAACGTTTCTCTGCATTGGCTCATCTGTTATGGCAGTATCACTGGTCACCATGGGGTTAGTGAACCGCAACATACATGTGAACGTCACCAGTGTCTGTAAAAGTCAATCTCTGGAGGATTCCCTTCTGCATAGACCAGGAAACCTGAGCAGCCACACCAACGACAGCATCAAGGACCTCTTCATTAGTATGGTTTCACAAGAAAAAGTGTCAATCAACACACAGAGAAAACATGGCATTGCCGGGAGAGAACAGAACAGAACTGCTCTGCTGGGAGGCAAAAGCACTACAGGATCATACATGGAAAGCGAGGAAGTTCCTGTTGTCTTAAAATGGCTMTCACTGGCCAGCCTGCTTGCTTATGTTGCTGCATTTTCCATAGGTCTTGGACCAAGTAAGTATTTTATTTTATTTTTGTGATTTTATAATTCTTTATAATGATTTTTTTTACAAGTAAGTTACAAGCTTGTATGAGATGCCCAGCTTGCTAGCAGTCAATTCTCAGTCCAGACTGTTTTCCACTACTATGCACTTGTTACAGAGCTGCCTAGCATGTACTGCTTTGAGAGAGGTGCTGCCCACTGAGATCCATGTGCTCATCTGCTGTGAAACCTTTCAGCTTCAGTGAAATTAAAAACCAACGTGAGCTTTGCACAGCAAAATTATGGGTCCTCAGGCTCTCCATTCTCCTTTGTACTGTGCTCTYAGCTTAGAAAGCTAGTGATTTGCTGTTGCTAGTTCATAAACCCAAGGCAATGATGAGCTCCAGACCTCTGTATGTTATGGCACCCTCAACTCCATGAATTGGAGCGTGAGTTCTGTTGAGGGCCCAACCCTCTGACCATGTAATAGTCTTCAGACACAGCTAAGAAGTTCAAGGCTTTGTAGTTCATGAGCAAATTTTAGTATCATTGCCACTACCGATACCAAGCAGTACAAATGTCAGAATACAGACTGGGTCACTGCACAATCAACGAGGCCACTGTCATTCTTCAGGATTCCCACTCTCTCCAGAGGAGAACCTCTCTGACATTCCCAGGAAGAATCAAATCTTTTCCTTCCTTTCCTTTCTCTTTGTTCTGTTTTTGTTTGATTGTTTGTTTTTAATAGAATTTGCATATTTTTTTCACCATCAAAGGGTTGATTTTTTTAAGTCACATTGCAAAAGATATATTCATGGAGCCCATTATTTATTAACAGACTTTTTGTGCTTTTATGCCCTGACTCAAACTCGCCTTGCAAACACATTGTGCTCCTGCTGCTGTATAATGATAAAAAGCTTGCCACAGGAATAAAACCCAACAATTGCACTAACAGCAACTCCCCAGCAGTATTTATTTATTTAAAACATTACTCACTGGGAGAGCTGTGTGAGATAAACATTCATTGCCAGAGCAACAACTTTACCAATGTTATTGCAGCATTATTCCCTCCCTTGCAAACCTTCTTGGGACTGGATTGTGCACCAAGTGACACGGGTGCAAAAACAGGGGTGTACCTCTGAAAATAATGTTACTTGAGTTTTTACGTGGGTTTTTGGGGGGCACATGTTCAGACTTGGACTGCTGTTGAGAGCTACTTTCCTGCTCACATAGCTATAAAATAGGTTCCTTGTCATGATGGCATGATATGATGCTAATAGGTTCCTTGGCAGGGTGGCATAATGTGATGCTAATGATAATGGTGCCCCTTTCCATGTAGGCTGCAGGAACTGCCTTTGCCACGTTGATCTGAGAAGTCTTAGACACCCAGGTTTGCTCTCTGACGTCCTTCTTGACAGACAGCACAGATGCTCTAGATGAGCAAATGGGAGGGAACAGTCACCATCCAGCATGCTGAAATCATTGGCAGTACAGCCACAGTGAGAGGGTAGAGTGAATTTAAACTGATGCATGCATCTACAGAGCAAGTTAAGGGCAGGTTTTCCAAGGGAGAAACAGATGCCTCAGAGGGCACAGAAAATGCAAAGATAAGAGAGTCAAGGAATTACTGGAATCTGCAAAGGACCTATCCCTGGGTTAGACAGGGAGGCTATGACTTCTGTTTCCTTTCTGGCCTTCAACCTTTTCTGCTTGGAGTCCAAAGTCTTGAATGTATTTTAAAAGCATAGATTTCTTATCACTGGTGTGCTTTCTTTGTGGTAAAGAATAAAGAGTTTGTGTGTGTTTGTTTTACTCATCTTCTAAAGCTGGCTTGAGGTCTAAAGCAGACCCATGGCCCCTGTCTGTTCTGCAAATGGAATAAGGCATCAAGGCTGCAGCACGGACTCCAACACCGGCTGGCAGCTTCAGCCAGATGATGCCTGGGGCCAGAAACACAATAATCAGCACCACTATATTTTCAATGCATCGGACTCTGCACTAGGTCAGCCTCCCTCCTCCTCACTAGGCCATTTCTGTAAGACATTCACCCACTTTATTTGAAATCCATGCTATATTACAGGAGACATGGATAAAGGAGAGCATATGTAAGCACCGTTAGAAAAACGGCACACTCTTTATAGGGCAGATCATGCAATGTAGGCCTCATCATCCATTTTAATTACTTTTTCCTGTATTTTCCTTCCTTTCTGAGGACAGTCAAAGAGCTAGTTACTGGCCAGAATTGTACAGTAGACTGTTGTAAATGTCATTTTTTTTCCCCATGGTTCCTCCTTTGTTTTCAAATTATTTGAAATAACTCAATTTTTTTAGGACTGAAAGTACACTAAATATATTTATTGTCACTTATCAAAGCACTCTGGCAGCGCAATGATGAGCCCTCAATAAAAATAGACAGAGACAAAAGCCATTTTTGCATTATAAAAGAATTCACAGAGCAGCAAGCATCTGCTTAATCTCCTTTTTTTTTTGACTCAAGGTGTCCTATATTTATATCCTCAGCCCCTAGGCAAGATAAGAGGAGTATATCTGCTGCTCTGTTTTGGATTAATTGTGTTTGACGAAATGTAATCCAACTGCTTGTTCACACTCAATTGCACACAATTATTAGGATGTTTTATAGGTGCAACAGGTTGGCTTTGCATCATGGCACAGGACAGCACAGACTGTTTCCCCAGGGGTGTTTCCAAAGGCATTTCAGTGCAGTTATTACTTGACCCCCATCTTTGTCTTGGATTACCGTGGTCTGCAGATCAGAAAGGGCAAATGAGGATGAACAGCTCTCAGCAGGAAAAGATGGTTTCAAAGCCCGTAAGAAACATCCATCTGGTTGCAACGTGAAGGCCAAGGAGCGTGAGGGGCACTTGACTAATTCCAGGGAATGTCTGCAGGGAGCTGCAGTCTCCCGTGGGCACGCATATGAACTGGCTCTATGTGGAGGGACGAACACGGGAAATCTGAGCCTCCCAGGAATCCTGTTACACCATGTACAGGATAGGCTAGCAACATGTGCAGACGTAGATCACTACCTCATTACCAAAACTAAAAGCTAAGAGTGGCCCTGGAAATGAGCTAAGCACAAGGAAAACACCTCTAGTCATGGCTAGGCATACACCTGACCACTTCCTAAATAACACAGGATTCACTGAAATAGACATTGAAAATGATAGAGAAGTTGGAAGGAGGATCATGTATAAAACAAAATTTTAAGGGTTCTCCTGAAGAGTGAAATCTAAGAATGAAATCTATATATGTGAGTATATATATAGTATATATGTGAGTGAAATATATATATATATATATATATATATGGTGAAGGAGATCTGTGAGTGTCCTGATGAAATCTCATGTCTTCTGCACATGACATATTTAAGCATTTATTAGATTATGTAAGCCAAAACCCAGACTCCTAACATTCTCCTAAAGTCTGTAGGATTACACTGGAGACAAATTTAGTCCACTTTGCTTCTGTGATTCCTACATTATTTCACCACCTGAGTTAAAGCAGGACTCATTAGCATGGTTAAATGTACACATTTGCTGTGCATTTCAGGGTATATTCTCCTCACTCATCAGATGAGCCTGTAACAAAACCCAGAGCAGCTGGTTTCACATATGGCAGTGAACCGTCAGGGATCACGGAGGTCATATCCCATGCCACCCTTATGATCTCAGACAGCAAAGAATTGTCTTTTCTCTGCAACAAACTACTCTTGGATCCGTGTTCTTGGCCACTGAGTACCCTAATAGAGGCTGGAAAATATTTTGAGAAAGAGAACTGTTAACATGGAAATTCTATTTCAGAAAATGCCAGTAACCCTCAGCAGACTTAATTGGTTGTTCCTACGTTTTGCAATATTGTAAGCCATATGGACCTGTACTAACTTGGAATGTAGTGGTAAAAGATAGAAGCATCTAGAATTCACAACAGTGCCTTTGACATTACAGCAATGTTTTAAGCTCCTACAAATCTTTAGGTTATTGTATTTTTTTGTGTATATACATTTGATGCTCATAGGCATTCATGCTCAGTATTGTCTTTCATGTTTTTTTTTTCTATATTTTATTTTTTGAGCTTCTACATTTTGTAGAGTGCCTGACCTTAAACTTCACAAAAAATGAGCACTATCAATTTTACACTGCTTTGGGTTCCCTGGTGCTGGGGGATTAAATCAAGTGATCAAAAATAAACAAGTGCTCAAATGCTTTGTTGGATCTGATCCAGAATAATAAACATGGAAAATGTGTATGTTTCATTAAGGATCAGTACAGAAAGTCCTATTTTAAATAATTTAAAAATGATCTTGGACACTTTATTTTAAGACAAGATTCCTAGAATAGTTCATTTGYCCTGAATCATCTTTTTAAGGCATGCATGCATGCATGCAGTTTGAATATTACACTTCTAGTGCACTATTTCTGTGCTATTCAAATAGTGCCTCACATTGTCTTTATTTCTCACCGTGTCTGCACCAAACAGTGGTAGAAAGACAAGCGAAGCCAAAATGAAAATTAAACWTGGATTATGAATTGCCTCACCCTAGGTAATATCTGTCTGAAGACCTGACACCTAAGTGCGCCAGGAATCAGTTTGCCTTTTAACACGATGGTTGACAGAAGTGAAGTGAAAGCTAGTTTAAAATATTTGGGACAGTCGAGTGCTGAAGAATAGGATTTCAGCTTTAAGGAGGTGTTCTTACCAGCGAGATGATAGGTTATTTTTACCTAGCTCAGTGGAACTTGCAAGACTGCAAGTGCTTTTTGAGTGTGAAAAAATATCATGAGAAAGCATTCCTCAATAATAAGACATGTCAATGTCATTAAAGGCCTTTACTTAGTTATTTTTAGGCTCTGTTTTGCAAGGAGCAGAGCASTCTTGATCAACCCGAAGACCTTGCATCTTGCAGTGCGCAGTGAAATCCGCAAAGTCATTTTCCCTGACTTCTTTGCTCCTGTTCCTAAGCTTACTTTTAAGCACGTGAGTGGCGAAATGCCTTGGCAGGTCGGGCCGAGT